GTGGCCAAGAATAATCTAATAATCAGATATTCTGTTTTATAATACAATATTATAAAAATGCAAAATGTATTTGAAACTAATCAAAATAATTATATTCTAGTACACTGTTTAGACACTGGCATAAATTACTGATTCCGAAGTTCTATGTCTGAATGATAAGTCTGATGGTATGTTCAACTCTATACAACAGCCAGAGCTCACAGAGCAACATGGGGTAGTGGTGATAATCAAATTCTATAGAACCTCTACAAACAAGGAGCTGAGTAATAATCAGTCATGTGATAGTCTAAGAGAAAACAACAAAAAGAAAAGAGATTAATTGACTAAAATTGCTCTAGAATTTTTATAGACATTAAATTAGCATGCTCTGCACAGGCAAATAGACAGAATCTAGATCTAGAAATGCATGTGAATTTCAAAACTATTGCTGAAACATATACTATGTAAATTGTATCAAACGATACTCATACACTCATTTACTGAAACACAGCATCAGTAATATCAGTAAACTGATTTAGTAACAAGGTTGAAACAAAGGAATATATATATATATATATATATATATATAAAACATTTAGACCAAGAAAATCTACTGCAAACCATAACAAATCCATTTTATTTCTTTTACCTAGTACCCACTTATTTTTTATTTTGTAACACATACTAGTTAAAATTAATAAACCATTTTTCTTTCCAAACCTTCCATCTTGATCATAAATTTAGGCTATATATTCAGCCTGATCTGAATGAATGAGGTCTGTGGTAATACTCAGCTCCACCAAAACAAAATTTTAAAGTATCATAATGTATAAGGACATTATAAAAACACTACAGAAATAGTACTCATTGTCCATCATACATATGAATACAGAAAATATAGCATTTCACAATATAAAGACAGACATTGCTATGCATGACCTAGATTTATGGCCATTTCCATTAATGAAAATAACATTTTTAGAATTAATAATAGTAGAACAGTATAAATGGTTGTAACTCAAGCTGCTTCTATATAATGAGAAGCTCCAATATAGAATTGTCTGATAAAATGTTAGACTATTTATGATACTTAAATCTTACTTTTAATTGCTTGTCTCCTAACAACCAAACAGCAAAATAACAGTCGTACATATTGCAAAAGAATTTTTTAAGGACCAAATATGTGGTTAATCTAGTGTTAGGCCTCATCATAGTTTTTCTTAGATGTGAATCAAATATGAACTCATAAAAACATAACATAGTCTGAGAATAATATTTTGACTTTCTAAAATATGTAACCCATTCATTTACATGCCTCATCAAAGCATATACAAGCTTCTGAAGAAAATATGTATTGAACATCAGCAAGAAGAGTGCTAGGAAGGAAAACTACAAGATGAAGAAGACCCACCATTACTCTTAAGGAGTTTATAATCTGGTGGAGAGAAAAGCAAGTAAACAGATCAGGTTTCAGATCTGAGGAGTGAGTGCTGGGTTAGAGGTAAATGCCAAAAGGTCACGACAGCGCACTGCAGAGGCCCTGACCCAACGTGGCTTCCCATCATGGCCAGCTCACGTGGTTAGTGAATCAAGGGAAAGCTTGAGAAGGTTGCACAGAAAGAGTAAAACCTACACTGAATCATCAAGAATGGAAGGCTACCCTGGAGGGGAAGAGGCCCATGTAGGAAGAAGCTCTACAACAATCTCAGAGAACCTGGGAGATTCAGGGAATGAGCAGAAGCCAGCATCAGATGGAGGAAATAAAAGAGGAAGTGTTAAACCTGTGGTTTAACACACATAATCCTTGTCTATGGGCAGGAATGGGCCCATGAAGGACAAAAAGGAGAGCAGAGATGGTGACCAAGAAGGTATTTTAAAAGGCAACCCTAGAAGTAACATAAAGCAGTTGAGAGTTAAAATAAAGATCCAAAATAAAGGAACCACGGTGAAGAGAACAGCTTTGAGAAAGAGTAAAATTAGGAATTGGTAGACTGTTGAGATGGCAGTGAAGAAAAGGAAAATGACTACCTACTTTCACTTGTAATCTATTCCATAGCTGTAGATGCTCTTCATTGAGATGTACAATAACTGCCCTGGAAGGGCATTAGCAGGACAAGTGAGATAAACTGTACAAGAAGAGATATGGTGAGTTTAGTTTTCATATGTGCTGAGTTTGTGGAACTATAAACTTCCAGGCAGGTATTTCCCGTAGGAAATGAAAGATCACTGAATATTAAACTATGAAACGTGTCCTCTTTAACCTTTCACATATTTGTTAGGAACTAACACTGAAAGTCTAAGAGGATCGTGTAAGCATTTCAGGTAACATCTTTTTATTTTCCTCGCCATGCTAAAGATGAAGAAGGGTTTAAATTCTGAATGGTTATAAGGTCTTTAAACACCATAGTGTCTGATTTTACAGCTCAGTCCCCTACTAGGTTGCATCAAGCAAAATGCATTGCAAGTTTTAGGGCCAAACAAAAGTGAGTTCAAGTCTAATCTCTGATGTGAAACAACAGTTTGACCGTGGCTAACCCAGAGTTTTGTCATGTGTAAAATACTGGCCTCTAGAATTACACTGCAAAGATATGGTGAGGATGGGAAGAAGGTATAGAAAATTCTGGATGGAGTGTGCATGTGACATAAATGACACCTACTGTTGTATCTGTGCTTAGAGAGAGAATTCTGCTTAAAATAAAATAGCTATGATCTAAGTATATTCCCTCGTAGTTTATTATGCATTGTATTTTAATTCTGCCCCTCTTTATTCTACATTTCAATAAAAACTACCTACCACTTTTCAAGAAGTTTATGTAAATCGCTAAGATCAAGTGAAGAAGTTTATGAGACATCAACATATTCCACAAAAGTCAAAGTTGTTTAAAGATTTTGTTCAAATAGAAATAATTTCAAAACAAAGAATGGTATTGTTATATTTCTGTAGTGCTGAATACCACAGTAAGAGGCCCCAAAATGACCAGGCATACTGATGTCACACAGAGAGCTTTGGGCTTGGAGTCAGAAGACCAGTGTGGAGTCCCAACTCTGCTACAGGCCAGCCACGCCAACTTGAGCAAGTCATTTAGCAGCTCTCAGTGTCCTTTTGAACATTTATGTGTTGAACAGATTGGTCTTTGTGTTCTAAATCTAAATTTGGCAAATAGGATCAAGCTGAGAGGCCTGGAAGGACATTCTAGATTTTTTGGTTCTCAAATCTGGCTGCACATTAGCATCTCTGGAAACTTTAAGAAAACATATTTTAAAAAATAGCAACCCTGAAATAGCATTGGAAGGACATCGGGATTATTACAAATACATTATTTACAAGTTCTGGATATTATTTTCTAAAAGATGATATGGAGCATCTTGGAGAACACCTCACGCATATTAAAATACAAAAGCATTCTCTTTAACCTCAACTGCACTGAAAACAAAACTTCCTTCTTATGTATACGCACAACCCAATGTGGTCAACTATCCTCTTTGCTAGGGCTCTGTTTGCTGTAGTACTTACTTCCCATGTCCCAGAAATCCTTCTCTGGAAAAGAGGAACAAGTCGGTCACCAAACACACTCACTCACACACACATACACAATAAGTGTGCACATTTTTAAATGACTTTCAGTGCATAAGAAGGTAGTACAGATCACAAGTACTCCTCTTGCCATCATCCACTACTAACTTTCAGGTACACGGCCACACTTGCAGACCTCTGATTCCAGGAAGACCCCAAAACACGCAGTGGCATGGGGGAGACAGAAAGCAGCCATGTTGACTAGCATCCATTTGTTAGGATTCTATGCTATAATATTTAAATTCAATACAGCCAGCATTTTGGAAAAATAAAATTTTTGAAGCCCATGCCTCTTCATTGTCATTTTCGTCTACTTTATAAAAGAGGTTAGGCAATCTTCCAGAATAGCATCTCCACTATTTGACAGATTTCTTAGTTTCATAATACTGCGACTCTTCTTTGTTACATTTTTTTTCCTGTACTGAAGCTACATGAAATGAATAATAATATATGATGAAAATGGACTGTGCTCATGTCTGTATGTAAATTTAAAGCCTGGCAATCATTTCTAAAATATCAACTGAAAAACAAGTGAAATCAGTTTAGAATGCCAGGTATACACCAAAGCAAACATTCCTCTGAACTATCTTCTCACAACAAGAGCCTTAGCCTCAGCTGTCTGGTGGAGAACTTAGACTTTAAGATTATTCACAGTGATGCCAGTTCATAAAAAACCCATATCAGACTGCAGAACACATTCTTGGTAAGTGCATGTCTTCTTCCCTGTGATGTCGCAAGCTGTGCTCAACCAGCTTGGGCAACAGTCTCCAGGAGTGTGGGGAAACCCTCCCTCCTGCTAGTGGCACACACTAAACAATGTGTCACTGAACTCCTAATGAGATAGGAGGAAAGACCACATACAGCCTTTCTCTTCAGGAAATCTGAATCCTCAGCGGATTGTCATAAAACTGGCAATAAACCTAGTAAAATAAGTAATACCCTTGAGAAATGTGGTTGTCATTCATAAAATGAGCAAAACGCATGCTAATTGTATAGTTTCTCCTGTTATGCTTCTGATAGCCAAGAATAGGTATACCCTCCCGTATATTTGGAACAAAACATTATAAAGGAAGTGAATAAAAGTTCAGACTGTCTCAAACACACACCATGATTTCAACACCTTGTCTTTCTCCCACTGGCCTTCCAAGGTACAGAATCAAGGGAGAAATAAAAATGTGATATCATCATTCAGTAGAAACAGAATACATCTCCACTGGTCGGTTTTATGGCCTTAGAATCCCAAAACCAATATATATATATATAT